ACACACACACACACACACACACACACACACACACACACACACACACACACAAAGAAAGCTCATCATACACATTTTCGATTGGAGTCATTTTTACTCGCAGAATTGTTGCACAGCTCACCAAGGATTCACTGGCACACTGGAAAACGTAGCAGGCGTACTGACTGGGACCAGGCTCAGATTGGTCCCGACAGATGAATCCAAAGTGGTCCGTRTGTCTAACACCCTTTGGGACCAAAACCAAGACATTAAACAGTATTYAACATTAAACAGAGCAACATTTCCACAGTAGAATTCCTGATTAAGATGTCTTTTTCTCTCAGTTTAAATATCAAACATACAAATCCTTCTGTYCAGTGGAAATTCCTAAAGGCCCTGTCACACTAGACAACTTATGTTAACTTATGAACGTTTTAAAGACATCTACAATGAAGATGGAATAGAAAAAAGTCAACAGGAAGCTTCTTTTAGGCCTGTAAATAATGTAATTCAAACAAATTAATCAAGTATTTAACTTTTATTAGCAATTTAGACATAAAAAATGTTTCATAAGTTGCATAAGTTATCTAGTGTGACAGGGCCTTTACAATGCAAGTTACTGTTAATAAAAAAATCACTACCTGACAGCAGGATGAGATGTCTTTGAAGTTCCTCTCCAGGACCACTGTTTTACTGTCAGGACTGATMAGGTTCACTTCAAATCGTCCCACCTGTGACAGAAAAACCCACCTGGTCAGACAGAGTCACACACAGATACATTGAAGAAATCATAGTTTTTAAGTTTTAGCTGTTGTCCTGGTGCACCTTCTCACACTAATGACTAATCTAGTTGAATTTTTATAGTCAACTAATCTGATATTATTCTTTTAGTCGATTAGTCAATGATTGTTTTTGTCATAACATCCATCTATGCTTCCTGTGGGCGCACCTCCTGTTCCAGCTCCAGTGCACACTCATCCATTGTCTCTACCTTAACATAACAAGTTCCCATAGCAAATTAAAATAATTAAATAATCCATTCAGTCTAAAGTCTTGCTGTGGCAGTCCAAAAGTTTGCATAAAGCTTAAACGCTGTGAGAAAACATGAGAACAAGACAGGATTGATTCTATAATTCTGTGATTTAATTTGAAGCACATAACTCATTAGCTAACATTAGCATAACTGATAGCTCAAGATCCAGCAAACACTGTTTTCTGATGGTATTCTAATGAAAATTATAAAGCGTTGGCTACAGCACAAATTGATTAGGCATCAACCTGACGAACAAGCTAACAAGCTAAYCTGCAGCGTGTTAGCGTCTCATGTGTTCATGCTTTTACTGCCGCTGTCCCATCGTAGAATTGACAACGTCTGCATTTTACAATCTTTGGTTGATTTTCAGTAAAATGTCGGCAACTTTGAAAATGTTTTTTAAGTTAATTTTTTGTTGTTTTACTAAATAATATTTTTAATACAGTGTAGAAGACTGTGGTCAGCTAAATGTGCTTTAGATAAACTCTGACATGACAAGTTCAGTCATAACAGATCTTCTTTTCAAGTATTTTATGATGATCAAATGATTACTGACAGGTGTAAACACATCTGTGGACGCGCCAAATCAAGGCCTGCGAGCCTGTATCAATGATTTTTTCCATAATTGACTGTGGCATATTGAGCGTCGTGCTCTACTTTTTAAATTTAGCCTTGCGAGGAAATGGGCACGGTGTGTGAAGAATGGCAGCTGCCTTGTGCTGCTGAACGCACATTTTAAAAATAATAATAATAATAAATCGGCCATAAGTCTGAGATTTAATGCAGCCTTATTAAGTGAAGCAGTTCAGAGAGGGACCATGRAAGTCCGTACATTACAGCTGCCAGCCACGTGCACATAAAAGTGATTCGGAGCAGYGAGAGGTGGAGCAGCCAGCAGGAGAATCAATGACAAGCAGCAGTGAAACAAGCATGACTTCGATTTGTGAGCTAGACAGATGGAATCAAGTTTCTCAAGACAAATGATGAGCTGCCCATCCATCCATCTGAAAGGGAACATCTTTACTATGGAATACATTACATTCTGTTCAACCTGGCAGCAAACAGTCTTTTATTAAGATAAAAATATTTTGAACATTATAGATTGTTTGTCCAAGAAACTTCAGATAATAATTATATTGAAAAGTTGTAGTGGATGGATGGATGGATGGATGGATGGATGGATGGATGGATGGATGGATGGAAAAGCACTCTAAAGATGTCTACATCAGTGTCATTTCTCTTCATTAGATCAAATGAACGTAGATTAGATCAGATCTTTACCTGGAAGAGCATGGTGCGGTTCTTGTCCGAGTCGGACGGCTGGACGTTGTTGGGCGCACTGGCATGGCGGCGGCGGGTAGGACCCATGATGCCACCTTCCCCTGGCTTCCTCTGCAGGCTTCCTGCCATGCTGCTGCAGCGTGTGCGGAACACCTGGGGCTCCTCGAAGCCAGAGTCCTCTAGGATGCACTCGGGYAACGCTCCTCGCAGGCTGCTCTGACTAGTCATGCTGAGCGGACATTTACCTGGACCACCCACAGAACACAAATAWCTGTCTATAAAATAGTATTTGTGTACTCTTCTGTTAGACTGTTATTTTTACTCAAACAGTGTTGGAAATAATGGATTTTTGTTCTTTTTTTTTTTTGAATATCCACCAATCTACGTTTAATTAAAAAGAAAAAAAATTGTATAGGTCTTCTGGACAGGTTCTTCTCTAATGAAACGTTTTGTCTCTTCTCCAAGAGCTTTTTTTTTTGCCTGAAACTCTCAGACTGAAGAAGTCTCTTGGAGGAGAGACGAAACGTTTCATTA